CGTAAAGGAGACTCAATGCAATGGACGCATAGCAGCGTCTGCTTACGGCACTCCCACTATGGGCGGCCCTATCTTGTCATACACCTCACACTGGGGTGATAGGGTGGAGGAATGGAAGGAAATGGAGATGGGCGGCGGAGCAGAGCAGCTAGGAGAGAGAAATGGAAGTTGGGAAAAGGGTGTGAAGTACCTGGTCAGCACTCAAGGGCGTGCGTTATTACCTCGTCGCAATGGGGATGTCAGGCAGGGAGGGCAGGAGGAGGCGGGCAGCGGTGTAGAGCAGCGGGGTGGACAGAGCAGACAGGCGAGAATAAGACGGCAGTGAAAGGGTACCTGGTCGCTCTTGGCGGCGATGGGCATGTCGGGCAGCAGCGAGGGCTGGAGGCGGACGGCGACGGAGCAGAGCAGCGGCACAGTCAGAGCAGGGAGGACAGAGAAGAAGACGAAGAAGAAGGCGGTGAAAAGCGCGTGCGTTATTACCTGGTCGCTCTTGGCAGCAATGGGGATGTCAGGCAGCAGCGAGGGCAGGAGGCGGGCGGCGGCGTAGAGCAGTGGGACGGCCTCGATGATGAAATGGTAGAAGTTGCCCGCCTGGCGGTAGTCCCAGTTGACCACCCTCTTTAGATGGTACACCGTCATGTTGGGGGTCAGCGTTGCCTGGGGGGAATGGAGTGAATGCAGAGATGCAGGGGTGTAGCAATGTTGGGGTGTAGGGAGATGAAGTGCGTGCAGGGAAAGGGAAGTTGCCTTGCCCCCTTGGCGTTAGTCCCAGTTGAACACCAAGTGCAGGTGGGTTGGGTACACCGTCATGCTGGGGGTGAGCGCTGCCTGTGAGAGATGCAGTCAATGCATGGACGTAGGGATGTCGGGATATGCAGCATGAAGAGAGGAAGGGGAATTTCCTGCCCACCAAGAGATGCACGGACGTTGGGACTTGGGCACTTAAGCACTTAGGGACGTACCTAGGGACTTAAGGACGTAACGACTAAGGGACATAAGGACTTTGGGACTTAAGGACCTAGGGAAGGGGGAGTGGAACAGGGGAGGGAAAGGACGGCATATGCGAGAGGAGGTGTGGAAGGGAGCAGTGGGCAAGCACCTTGAGGAAGCGCTTGCAGCCGTTGCGGTTGAAGCGGTGCGTCAAGTTGAACACGTATCCACCGAACGCCGAGTACACATCCTTCATCTTGAACACCTGCATGGCCGCATGGCATCCTTCAGTCATAATGTACAGAGAGCAGCAGTCGCGCACTTCACGCTTCAGCAAAAGAACAACAGCGGTTTTTGAGTCGACATAATAAACCTCCAAACCCGGACCGGAGTACGCATCCATCATCTCATCTTGAACACAACACACCTGCATGGCGGTGGCGTCCCGTGCATTCACATCCACGCGGTGCGAGCACTGCTTATCAATGAAATACCACGGCCGCCGCAGCCGCCCCACGTCCGCCACAGGCTGAAGCCGCGGGCAGTTGAGTGGGTCCGCGGGGAAGAGTGGGCGCGGGTCGGTGAGGTGGTCGTTCCAGCAGGCTTGTACGTGCGGGAAGGCATCCCCGCAGTGGCCGAACTTGGGGCAGGGCGGGCCGCGGCACCGCAGGCGCGGGCCGAGGTGGGGTTGCAGCTCGTAGTAGTCGAGCATGATGGAGGGCAGGGCCGCCGTGTGGAGGGTGCGGTTCAACGGCGCTGCTGCTGCCCTCAGTGCTTCCCGGCGCTCCATGTGGCTGGTGGGGGGGAAGGGAGGTAAAATAGGAAAGGGCCGCAGAACTTGAGGTGCGGGTGCAGCTCGTAGTAGTCGAGCATTATGGAGGGCAGCGCGGCTGTGTGGAGGGTGCGGTTGAACGGCGCTGCTGATGCTCTTAGTATGTCCCGCCGAGCCATGTGGCTGGTGGGGGGGAGAGAGGGGATGAGAGGGGAGGGAAGGGGAGGGGAGGGGAGAGGGAAGGAGGGGACAGGGTAGAGGGAACGGGAGGGCAGGGGAGGGCAGGGCAGGCGAGGGGAGGAAAAGTAGGGCGGGTAGAGGATTTGGTGTATGTATGAGCCTGACTCTGCTTCCTCACCCATAGCCATGGTGCAGGGCGGAGGGACGGAGGGATGGGACAAACACGTGGGGGCAAACAGAATGAATCAAACAAGCTAGCAGAAGTTTCCTGGTGGGAGGAGGTAACAAAGACACTGGCAATCGGGCCAGGGAACAGGGATGGGAGACAGATACATGCACATGCATAACGTGTCCAGAACAGTAGAAAGAAAGAGGTAGGATGGGGGGAACGGGTTAGGGTTGGAGGGAAGAAACGTTAACAGGGGGGAGAGGCGGGGATGATAAACATAACGACAGAAGCAAGAGGGATGCGTTGTGTGTGAGAGAGAGAGAGAGGTCGGATCTAATACAAGGACAATTTGAGAGCTCACAGCTGATCGGCGAGAGATCGCTCGAACTGCTGCACGCGACCCAGAAGGGCCTCCTGCCGCCCCTTGCCCTCCTCACCCTCCTGAGCGTCCTGACCCTCCTGCCCCTCCTCTGCCTCTGGCACAGGCGGGCGATGGGATGGCAGGCACGAGGAGGAGCAGGGATGGGAGGGACGCATGGAGGGGATGTGGACGAAAGGTGCAGTGATGGGTGGCGGAGTGAGTGATCATGGTGATGCATGGCCGCCAGTGATCCACACACCAATATGCACATCGCGCTACAGTGATTGCGCTACAGTGATTGCGCTACAGTGATTGCGCTACAGTCACACACCATTCGTGCTACAATCACACGCCATTCGTGCTACAGTCACACGCCATTCGTGCTACAGTCACACACACACCTCGAGCCACGGCATGCCGCAAGGAGAGGAACGCGAGAAGGAGCACTCCGAGCAGCAGACGTTGGTCATAGCGATGCTGATTGTGATTGTGACTGTAACCAGAGTGACTGTATCCTCTGTGGCTGTGGCTGCGATCGTGGCAGGTGCGGCTGGAGCGCGGGCGCTCGTGGCTGTCTGGAGAGCAGCGGGGATAATGGAGAGGAGGAGAGCAATTAGAGTGCGGTGGAGTACGGTGGAGCGCGGTGGAGCATGGAGCGAGGGAGGGGGAGAATGCACCGCGTAGGACGGCTTGAGATTTCGGTGACTCCCGTCAGTGCAGCCCACGTGGCACTACCGTCGTCGCACTATCCTCGCACCGCCGTCGCACTGCCGCCGTACCGTCGTGGCACTACCGTCGTACCGCCGTCGCACTATCCTCGCACCGTCGTTGCACTACCGTCGTACCATCATCGCACTGCTGTCGCACCGTCGTCGCACTGCCGTCGCACCGTCGTTGCACTGCCGTCGCACAGTCGTCGCACCGTCGTTGTCGCGCGTACGTCAGAGTTTAAGATCTCGTAGCGTCGGCCGTGCGCCGCGCAGGCGAGGGGAATCCAGGCTATGACGCTGCATACGAGTCCCCATTGGCCATCTCACCTCCTTCTACAATCTAGACCGTCGAATCGCCTCACAGGTACTTACCCCATCTCCACGGGACTCCTCGATCTGGACGCTTCCAACGCGTCAGCATGTTACCACGCTGTAACATGCCACCATCTCGCTACGGCTTCGCGAATGATGTGTACCAGGTGAAGACGTGGGGAAAGAGAGGACAGTGGAAGGCTGGATGCGCGAGGCGAGCGAGACGAGCGAGGCGCGCGAGACGAGCGAGACAAGGGAGGTGAGCGCGGCGAGCGATCCAGTGAGTGAAGGCGTCTGCAACGGTCAGGTCTGATCTGCCCTGTTCATTTGCTTGAATGGCTGTCGAAGTCCTGCCACATGCGAAGTCTGCAGTTATGAATGGTGAGGGCGTGGAATATGGTCGGTTGCGACCCGACTTTCCGAAACCCGATTCGGTAACCACCTTCGCTGAAACCTAAATTGCCCGTGGCGACGATCGCTGGAATAGCAAATTAGGTTTCCACTTATTTCGGTTTCGTTTTCGCCTACAACACATGCAACCTGAAACAAATGGACCGTCCTGTGCTGGAGTTGGCGCACAGAACATTTTTGGCCTTTCCCAAACCCGGAACCTTTTTGTTGAGTTTCCTACTTTGCGATTCTGTACATCCATAATTTTAAATACGGTATTTCATGTTTTCTGGTTTAGGGTGCTTCCATACCCGCTTATACCGCGAACGCGCACTCTCGGTGCATGGAGCTCCACCAATCCCATCCCACCATACCAATCCCATCCCACCAGCGCGACGCACGCGCAATACTATTCTTAGTACCACCACTCGGCCTGTTCTTAGTAGCGTAGTACCGTCCTCCCTCTCTGGCCTGTTCTTACTAGCGTAGTGGTGGTCTTGCGTAGAGAGTCTGGCCCGGTCATCTCGCCTCTATTTACGAATGGAGTGTCCTCCCCCCGCTCGACCTGTTCGAAGTGTAGCCATCTCCTTATGTTCTGCCCTCTCTCTTCTCCTCGTCCTCCTGATAGTTTCCACAACTCCTCAAATCACCACTCGCCGCCTCTCGACTCTCGAATCCTTGTCGCTCGCACCATCCCTCGGGCGTACCATCTCAAAATTTTCACCAATCGTGTCCTTTTTTTCCGCGCTGCTTCCCTTCTCTCCGGGGCTCGCCAGTTCCACACATGGAGCCTCTGCCGCCCCTGCCACCCTTTTCGCGCTCCGTCCCTTTTCCCAGCTCGACAATTTCAACCATAGCGCCGCTGCCACCCCATCCGCGCGGCCCGATTCTCCGCCGCACGCAACGATACTCGACGCCACCGATCGCGCCTCGCACTCGTCGCCTTCGCGTCGCTCGTCGCCGTCGCACGGCGTGGGCGACGCGTCGGCGATTCTCCCCGAGTACCTGGGCCACGTGGCGACGGGCGGCGAGGGGATCGCATGGGGCGACAGGTGCTTCGAACAGGTCACGGCGCGACTGGCCGTGCGCGCGGGGAGGCTTGGGCGCACGGGAGGGGGAGGGGGAGGAGGTTTAAGAGGAGGAGAGGCTGTGGGGATGAGGAGAAGCGTGAGAAACGAGGGTTGGGATCTGGCAGATGCGGGAGAGCGGGAATATGGAGAGGCGAGGGCAAGGAGGAGAGTGATGCGCGGCGAGGAAGGGGGAAGGGAGTGGGTGGTGGCGATTCAGCGGGAGCCAGGGGCGGAGGGAGAAGGCGGGTTGGATGGGGCGAGGGTGAGGCCGGTGGATGGGCGTCAGGCTGCAGCGACCGTGACTCTCTCTGTGCGTGCCACATGCACCCCGTGTCGTGCCACATGCACCCCGTGTCGTGCCACATGCACCCCGTGTCGTGCCACATGCACCCCGTGTCGTGCCACATGCACGGACCTTCTCGCTCCACTGCTGGGCCCGCCCCTGCCGCCGCCTCTTGCTGACCCTGGCTTACGTCTCCCATCTCGGCTCTGCTTGGCGCCTCCACCCAGCTGGCGGTCTCCGCCTCTCCTTCCGTGGTGTTCGCTTCTACGGCCATCAGCGCCCACCCTCGTTCCCTCTGCTGCTGCTTCTCGGTTTGTATCTCCAGGAGAATCTGCTCCGCCCTCTGCTGGCTGGCCCGTACTTCCGCTTCGCTCACGTCGCCCGGTCCTCCCACTTCCGCCTCCATCTCTAGTTGCTTCGACGCCAGATGCAGCTGTATCACAAGCACCAGCCAGTGCATGGCCTCCACGTCCATTGCTCGGCCCAGGGCCTCCCTCCCCCTCGCTTCTTCTACCCCTGGCGCTGCCGTGGCGTCGGGGACAAACCCCATCGCGAGTTCCCTCTCCTTGGCGGTGGGTTCCTCCCAGCGGTCTTTTAGCCGATCGTACACCATGCCTGGTCCGGGCAGTCCTTCAATCCACACGAATCCATGAGCTTGATGGCGCGCCACCAGTGTGGGCCAGGCTTCTCTCGGCAATCCTGGCTCGTTGCACTGGAACTGGCTGGGATGATCCGGCTTGACCACCGGCGCTGGCTCTCTGTGAGCCTCCAGGATGTCTTCGACGGGGCGCGGGACCGGCCGTTCCGTTTGTATGAGTTCCCACCTGAGCCTTCCTTCTGACACCCCATTCTGCCAGTAGCGCCTTACTCTGTGCGAGTAGGACCCTTGCTGCACCGCCTCCCATGCCACTCCTGGCCCGAGCGCTTCGGATACTACTTCCATCATGCGTCGCACTGGCTCCCTGCAATCGGTGGAGAAGTCAGGATTCTCGAGGATATAGAGATATTCCCCGTGCTGCTGATATATGAGCTTCATGACACGAAGCAGCTCCAGGAACAGTGTGGATCTGGGGTCCTCCAATCCCGTGCCTTTCCCCGCTCTTGAGACTCCCTGACACTCCCATCTTGCCACAAGGAGGTCCACTCTTCCCCACCGGCGCACGTCCTCCGGCGCCACTTCCCTGATGTCATTTATAAGCTCCTCTTCGGCCTCCGCCTCTACTCCCGACATCAGCTGCGTTGGGTAAATCCCTCTCAGTTTCCTCGCGTGATGGAAAGCCATTCGCCGCACCACCGGATCCAGCTCCACCAATACCCACTTCTTGATTCTGCACCCCGCCTTCAGCGCCGCAGCCAGTCCGGTCCCAATTCCTCCGAAGAGCTCCACAATCGTGATGGGCTCCTGCAGGCGACTCAGGTCTGTGAGCCGCGGGGGTAGCGCCAGAGGCCGCTCGGTCCTCTCTTCCTCTGCCCTTCGCGTCTCCCGTTCCAGCACATACTGCTTCCAAGACCAATCCTCGATCTGCTCTTCCACCTCCGCCATGCGTGCTCGGAAGGCTTCCCGTGGCTCCCGCTTAATGAAGTGCACCGGCAGTGTGCCCACTGGCCCGTCATCTCTCCAGTACTGTGCTCGATAGAGCACCTTCTCCTGCCATGTGCAGATGGTAGCGCCCACGCGATACAGTAGCTCCATGCCGATGAGGAGATCATAGTCCTCTGATGGTGAAATGCCGCATCGCATCCTGATCCGACATTCGTCCTTCGTGCCCGGCCTCAGGATCACTTCTACTGGCATGCGAGTGCAGGGCATCCACTTCGGCTCCCCTCCTTCTGCGGTCATCACCAGAATTCCTCGTGTAATGAGCCGATTCGGCTGATCCAACTCCAATCTCTGGGCCAAGCCTCTTCCTAGCAGGATATGGTGGGGCCCCGTGTCTATGATGGCCTGCGCCACCACCACTCCTCCCACTGTGATTGCTCCTTTCTCGATAGTCAGCACCGACGGCTGGCAGACCATTCTCTCCTTGGGGTGCCGTTCAGACGTCATCTCCTGCTCCGGCTCTGCGGCGTAGCCTCGGAACCGCCGCACTCTTCCTTCCGGCAGATGCCGCTGCCCATGTTGGTCGCTTCGGAGCCTTATCTCATCTCTCTGCCGCGGGGCCTGCACCATGAGCACGAACTCCGCCTCGCTGCCTTCTCCTTCCTCTTCTTTCGCCAGCATGGCTGGTTCCTTGCGGGCCGTCCCCTCCAGCTCCCGAATCCTCGCCTTCAGCTGATGGAGCTGCGCTTCCAGGTCCTCCTTGCTCCGTGGCCCCGCCGATCCCGGCCGTCGAGTATAGAAATCTGCGGTCCGATGACCCCGCCTGCCGCAATTTCCACACGTGGGGAGCTCTGGACATTTTCGCCGCAGGTGTCCTTCTTCCTGGCAGTGGTCGCACCTTGGTGGCCTGCTGCAATCTCATTGGAGGTGGCCCTCCTGGCCGCATTGGTGACACCTGCGTGTCTCTGCATCTCGCATTCCGCGCCTGCTGGGAGGTTCTCCCGCCGAAACCGCCGTCCAGGCCGGTTTGCGTCGCTCTCAATTTCATATAGGCGCAGTCCCACTTCGTGCTTCTTTGCCAGCTCGTACGCGTACTCCAGTGTCGCCGCTGGTCCCAATTCGAACACCCTTCCTCGCACTTCTCCGGCCACACGCTCGTCCTGGCTGTTGAGAAACTTCGTGACCAACCTCCATTCGTCTCGGCACTCCATGTCCGCCGCGAGTTCCCGCAGCCTGCCGTAAGTCGCCAGAAGCGATTCTCCCGCCTTCCTTTTGAAGGACGCGAACTCCCTCATGCGTTCTGGCGTCTGCACCGGGAAGTGGCGCTTCAAGGTGTCGAAGAACTGCGTGACCACGTCCCACGTTATTCCCGCGGTTTGCGCCGGCTCGCTCAGCATGCGTTCCAGCTCCATGCCGTACGCGGTTTCTGCTTCACCCGTGACTGTGTTGGAGAGCCCCCGGAAGAAATCTTCAGGCTCCAGCCCGTCCTTCATCCAGCGGTATTGCGCGTTGCAGATCTGCATCATGTAGTTCTTTAGGCTGCTCCCCACACCTGGCGTGCTCGCGAATCGCTCGAGAACCTCAATTTTCGGCAGAGCGGCGTACCTAACGCTGCCCGCTCGAGTAGTCTCCGTGGTCTGGTGTTCCGACATGGAAAGTCGCCTTATTCGTCCGAGCAGCTCGCTGTCTGTGCCGCCTTCCTCTCGTGTTCCTTCGCTGCGCGGCGGCAGCCTGGTGGCCCCCGCTTCCACTAGCGGCCTTCCCGTCGAGCTTTCCCTTGCTTCGCGCCCTTCGCTCGGCAGGTCATTCATGCTGTGCCTCCGATGCGGCGCCGTATATGCTTCTCTCTGGGGGCCGGCGTACCCTTCGGTCGGCTGAGTGCCTCCGCCGTCTCCCGCCGCGTCCCCTGCTCACCATCCCGGCGTTGCCATGGCCGGCGCTTCTGGCGGCCTTTCGTAGCACTTGCCCGACCGCGTCTGCATGCACTATCTTAGCAACCGTTAACGTGAGATCTTCTTCATTGTATGTCAGAAAATCTCCTAACTCCTAAACGCCAACAGATGGTTCCCGCACTCGCTCATGATAGCCTGCGGCTGGTTAACAGGATTACATTGAAGCAAACAGGAAACATACAACGAAGCACCTAGCACTAGGGTTTCACCAAGGCTATGTACAATCAAGAATTCTCATCCCTAGCCTAGGGCCTCAGCCACACACATCACATTGGGCGAGACTCGGGGCACCGAGTCGTATTTACAAACCGCAGGCGGTTTGGATCTGCATGGGCTCCTGCACGAGCCTCCTGCCAGCTGCACGCTTGGCTTGCATGGTACACTGCAGCTCCTGCCATCTGGTGGTTGTGCTGTGCTTGTACGCGTCAACAGCTCTCGCCCTGCCACAGAAAAGAAACACACTTCACACGAAAGAAACATTCAGCCCCACCCCTATCCCAACATACACATTCAGCACATTTGTACGCTTATGTACACTGCAGCTCCTTGTCACTGCTGCATCCTCTCGTGTTTCTTCACTTCATCCCACTGCTGCACCCCAGCCTCTGCTTCTTCCCCCCTCCCGTGCTGCTCACAACCTCCTGTGCTGCTCACAATCCTTCTACGCTGTCCCGGAAATTATGTAGCCCTTCCTGGCTTCATATTGCCGCGACACCTAACTGATATGTTATTGGGCGGCGGTGGCGGCCGTCGTTTTTTTTAGCGATGATATTTCGTCTGCTGCGCGGGTCCGGGCAGCTTGCAGGATCTCGGCGAACTGTTGTGCGCGTGGCGTTGGGTTGTCCGGGCTCGGCGTCATGGGCATTGTGGGGTTCTGCCCGTAGTTCAGGTAAATTGGTGACAGTTGTGTTGTCGCAGACATGGCGTTGTTGTAGGCGAACTCGATCAGCGGCAACTGCTGCTCCCAGGTTGTCGGGTCGTCGCACGTGGCACGAATCAGCTGCTCCATGGTCTGGTTCGTTCGCTCCGTCTGTCAGTCGGTCTCGGGGTGGTACGACGAACTGAACTGTAGTCGGGACCCAAACTGCTCCCAAAGGATCTTCCAGAAGTTGCTGGTAAACTTCGTGTCGCGGTCACTGATTCTCGCGGCTGGAATCCCGTGCAGTCGGATGACGGTCGCGATGAATAGGCGAGCTGTTTCTTTGGTTGAGATCGATTTCTTGCACGCAGCGAAGTGGGCCATTTTCGTCAGCCGGTCAACGACGACCATAACCGCGTCGCTACCCACAGGGCTCGAAGGTAACCTCGTGACGGTGGGATCGCCTGCAACTGACCCGCCTTTTTCTTGCGCGAGCTTTTCATCACCTGACATGTGGGGCACGATCCCACGTGGTGCTGTACGTCGGTCAACAGCTCCGGCCAGTAGTAATAACGATACAGTTGCTGTCGCGGTTGGTGCCTGTTATTACGTAATATAATCCTTTTGTTTCTGTGCGTGAAGGACTATAGGACTTCGGAAGGTGTGCAAGGCCGCAGCAGATGCAGTACCAGAGAGAGCAGACTCACCAGCACCTAGAGTAGCAGACTCACTAGCACCTAGAGCAGCAGCCTCTATACCTGGGTCTGGCGGCATACACAGGTAACAGTCACCCTCAGCACTAACAGTCAATGCATACATGGCAGAAAGGATAGCATCATAATCAAGAGCAAAGATGTCTACACCCTGCCAAAGCAGCTCTGCCCAGCGGGGGAGCTCAGCCGCATCGGGAAACTCTGCGCGGAAGGCGTCGGTAAGACGAGAGAAGCAGCGGTACTGGGTGTGGGGCTTCCCGCATGTTTGACCAGTGCGGTCACCTGTGCAAATGACATACGGGCAGGGACCACTACCCCCAGCCGCCCCACGCTGAGAAAACCACTCACAAAGCTCCTGGGGCGAAAGCTTACGCTGCTACTGCTGCCTCTGACCACCGCCCAGGCCTCCCCTTTGACTGGTACCACACCGGCCGCCACCACTACCTTCGCCTCCACTCCCACTGCTGCCACCACTGCCGCCGCCACTGCCGCCGCCACTACCGCCACTGCCGCCACCACCGCCGCCACCTACACCTCCACCCCCACCACCACTCCCTCCGCCACCGCCGCCCCCTCTACTGCCTCCACCGCCCCCACCACCGCCTCCACCTCTGCCGCCCCCACCGTCCCTGCCTCCCCCGCCCCTGCCGCTGCGGCGCCTCCCACTAGGGGCAGACGCAGCTCCTACCTCCTCAGCATGAAGGTAGTCAACAGCAGCAGCAGAGGCGACTGAGGGGAGAAGGGGGGAGGGCGAACACCCCTCAAAGAAGGGAGTGCGAGGAGTGCCACGAGAAGCGCCTACAGCGACTATGCTAGTCTCAGCTGCAAGGAGGTGCTTCTCGAGCAGGTCGACAGTGAGGGGGTGGGGTCAAGGGCGAGGAGGAGGTCCCTGACAGCGCTAAGAGAGTAAGGGAGGCGGGTGACAATGAAGTAGAGAGTGATGCACATGGGAGGAGGGTTCTTGGTGAGAAACTCGGCGGGGAGCGCAGCGCGGTAGCGAGTGTCACTAGTGCGAAGGTGAGTGACTAGGTCGGCTACTGTGGCAAAGGCGGACAGCTTTGGGAACAGGTAGGGCAGGAGAAGGCGGCCTAGAGCAGCAATGGCCGGGGAGGAGTAACGAGCGACTACATCGTCGTACAGTGCTTTCGCAGTCTTGTGCTGTCCGAAGTGAGCGCGTTCGGCTAACGACAGGTGGTTGCGAACGGCTAGGCGAGCAGCAGCGTCACGAGTAAGCCACTAAGAGCGAGCTACACTGTCAGCTGTGGCGGCAGGGGCGAGAGAGGCGCCAGACGTGAGGTCAAACAGTGAAACACCGTCCTTGGAATCGCTCAGTAAGTACAACTGTAAGTCGTCGAGCCAAGCGTCGAACTCTATCGGGCGGCCCTCCGGATCAAAGGTGAGAACACTGAGCGTGGCCATGGCGGGCAGAGCAGTCGGGCGCGCTAGCAGCAGAGCAGCACGCAGGCAGAGCAAAGCAGGGAGGCAGCCAGCAGGGCAGGGCGCGCGGCAGCAGGCGGCGCGCGGGCAAAGCAGGGCGCGCGGCGGCGGGCGGCGCGCGGGCAGGGCAAGGCGCGCTGCAGCGGGCAGCGCGCAGGCAGAACAGGGCGTGTGGCGGCGAGCGGCGCGCGGGCAGGGCAGGGCGCGCAACAGCGGGCGGCGCGCGGGCAGGGCAGGGCGCGTAGCAGCGGGCGGCGCGCGGGCAGAGCAGGACGCGCGGCGGCAGGCTGCGCGCGGGCAGGGCAGGGCGCGCTGCGGCGGGCGGCGCGCGGGCAGGGTAGGGCGCGCTGCGGCGGGCGACGCGAGGGCAGGGCAGGGCGCGCAGCAGCAGGCGGCGCGCGGGCCGGGCAGGGCGCGCTACGGCGGGCGGCGCGCGGGCAGGGCAGGGCGCGCTGCGGCGGGCGGCGCGCGGGCAGCACAGGGCGCGCGGCGGCGAGCGGCGTGCGGGCAGGGCAGGGCGCGCTGCAGCGGGCGGCGCGCGGGCTGGGCAGGGCGCACTGCGGCGGGCGACGTGCGGGCAAGGCGGCACGGCGCGACGCGCGGGCTGGGCAGGGCAGGGCGTGCGCAAGCAGCGCGACGCAGGGCAAGGCAAGGCAGTGCGGCCCTAACACGACGGCGCGACGGGTGGGGTAGCTTACTCGGTGGGCCCTACAGAAACGGTCCTAGGCTAGGACCTGCTCTCAAACCATGTCAGAAATACGAACGAGAATGAATGAACTATCAGCAAGATGGGTACAAGTAGGAAACCCTAATTGTGTTGTACCCCATATGGGCTACCCCACTACAGCCTACACAATAAGCAGCATATAAGTTTGACAATGCAATGGCATGACTAAGGCGGTTGCTGACGGAGCGGCCAGCCTTAAGACGTATGCGGTGGGCTCCAAGGCAACGCCCAACCTGTGGCACGCTCACCTTGGACACGTCCACTTCGATGCGGTGAAGCGGACAGCCTCGAGCGGTGGCGTGTTAGGCATGGACCTGGAGAAAGGAGGTGAGGATATGTCTTGCACCTCTTGCCATGAAGCCAAACTCACTCGCGAATCATTTCCGCTGCACGACGAGCGCGATGAGAAGGTTCTTGGGCTGGTCCATACTGACGTGTGCGGTCCATTTCAGACCCCAGCCATGGATGGAAGCAGGTACTACATTCTGTTCGTGGACCACGCCTCACGTTACACATGGGGGAAGACGCTGAAACTGAAGAGCGACGCACTTGCTGCCTTCAATGAATGGCTTCTCGAAGCTGAACGGCAAACCGGGATGACGCTGAAGGTGTTGCGGTCGGACCGGGGAGGGGAGTTTATGTCGAATGAGTTTCTGTTGCTGCTGAAGCAACAAGGAATCTTGCGTCAACTTTCCTGCCCCTCGACCCCCCTGCAGAACGGTGTGGCTGAACGCCGCAACCGTACGATAACCGAGGGCATGCGTGTGATGTTGGGGCACATGGGGGTGAAAGCACACTGGTGGCACTTTGCTTTCCTGAGCATGAGCGTAAGGGAAAGCTTGCAAGCAAGACTCGATGGGGCATGCACTTGGGCATGAGCATGGAAAGCAAGGGATGGCGAGTGGTGGATGTTGAGTCAAAGCGCATGGTCATCACCCGGGATGCATGTTCTTATGAAGACATGTCACTTGAACAGTGGCAGAAATGGCGTGCACGCGTGGGTTACGGGAATGACCAGTCCGTACCACCCTTTGCTTCAGTCTCATCTCTCTTTCCTGAGCCCCACGACCCCAAGCAGAATCCGCCGCCACCACGTACCGTTATCGTGGTCCCGGTACCGTCCGTGCAAGTGGGCGAGCAACCCCTTGATCGCTCGGTGGGCCCTTTGGGCAGCAAGGCACCAACTGCACCTCCTCCTCTCGGTCCGCCCTCCGTTGCTGACTCGGCGCCCGTGGGACCAGAGGATGGTCCTCTGGAGGTTGGCACCATCATGGCTGATCACGAGGAAGAAGAATATGAAGTAGCAGTGGATGAGCAGTCACCAATGGCCCATGAGCATGAGCCTTCACCTGTAGTTCCCCCCATCCAGCCCATTCCGCCACGTCGTACGGGTTCTCCTCATCGTCCGCATCCTGGGCCGTCATGGCTGATGGCTGAAACCGTACGGGTAGCACCCCCTCGTTAGGCCTATGAGGATGAGGAGGAGGAAGGCGCTTAGGGAGGTGTCGTCCTCGACCTTGCAGCTGCGTTGACCGAACCTGAAGGCAAGGAATGGTGGGCTGCTATGAAGGAGGAGATGTAGAGCCTTGATGAGCAAGGCACTTGGACGTTGGCTGACCTACTCGAAGGTCGCATTACAGTCGGCGTCAAGTGGCTATTGAAGAAAAAGCTGTGGCCTGATGGCACCGTGGAGAAGTACAAGGCCAGACTCGTGGCAAAGGGCTTTAGCCAGCGCTTCGGCGTCGACTACGACAATACCTACACTCCTGTTGGCAGCTACACCACCGTTCGCGTGCTCCTCTCAATCGCAGCAGCTATGGACCTGGATTTGCTGCAGCTTGATGTGAAGAATGCATTTCTTCACAGCACCATCGATGCAGCAGCAAGGTGTGCCTCCTACAGAAGAGCCTTTACGGGCTAAAGCAAAGTTCTCTTCTATGGTATAAGAAGCTGGACAAGGTGCTCCTTGTGGAGGGGTACAAGAAGAGCCTTGTGGACCAGGCCCTATACTACAAGGATGGGGCAAGCGGGAAGCGCGTGTGGCTGCTAATCTACGTGGATGACATGCTGGTGGCAAGTGAAGACCAGCAGCTGCTGCAGGACCTGAAGGACCTGCTGTCAAACTATAATGATATAGTTTGTATTGTTCTAGTCTAGGTGCATTTTACTTTGACCTAGGTTTAGGGTTAGGGCTGACTTATATCTTTCTTGTTTGTTCATTTGCTAGTCAATCATTCTCATATTCTAACATGGTATAGAGCGAGGTTCCCCCTAGGCGATTTTTCCCCTAGGCGATTTTTCCCTAGGCGAAATTTCACTCGATAATTATGGGCTCACCACCCGCGCGCCTCGTACTAACGCGCGCCTCGTCATAGCGCGCGCCTCGTAGCGCGTCACCGTCGTCCGTCGCACGTCGACCGTCGCTTTTCGCCCATAGCCCGTCGCGCTTTTCCCGCCGTCGCCCGTTCGACCCACCCCCCCCCCCCCCCCCCCCCCCCCCCCTCCTGTCCGTTTTTTCTCGCGCGCGACCGTAGAATGCAGGCTCCGCGGCCCACGCGTTAGCAGACCCCGCGGCCTTCAGTAGCGGGCCTCGAGGCCTTTGCTCGACGGCCCTGTGGCCTGCGCTTAGCTGGCCCCGCGGCCAAACGTACGACCGCAGTCGCCTGTTCGACCCCCCCCCCCGTCCGTTGATTTTTTCTCGCGCGCGACCGTAGAAGGCCCCGCGGCCCACGCGTTAGCAGGCCCCGCGGCCTTCAGTAGTGGGCCCCGATGCCCTTGCTCGACGGCCCCGTGGCCTGCGCCTAGCTAGCCCCGCGGCCAACACGTACGACCGCCCCACCCCTCAGCCGCCCGTTGCCGCCCGCTGCCACCCGTTGCCGCCCGCTGCCACCCGTTGCCGCCCGCTGCCGCCCGTTGCCGCCCGTTGCCACCCGTCCCGCCCGCCCAAACTTGCCGCTATGCAAAAGTTACAGCATTGGAGCCGCCCTCATCTGAGTGGGAACGTCATTGTTTCCACTTTGATGGTGTTAGGGTGGTTCGCTGCTGCCCTAGTATCTACCGGCCTACATGTTTGACCTAGGGGTGGTAGAGCAACACTAGGAGTGGTGGGAAATGTCGACCTGATGTGTGGAAACTACAGCTAGAACGGTGGGCAAAATCCCAAGGATCTAAGGAAGAACAGAGAGCTTTCAGGAAATCTCGAGAAGACATTAGCCGCAGGTTAATGTCCAACTGCAACCAAACCATGTTCGGTGCGGATGCGTCAGGCCAGGTTTCGGTTTCGGTGGTTACCGGATTCGGTTCCGCGTGCGACATGAGGCGAAATGGGACAGACACGTTACACGAGGCGCACTACTGATATTGGATTGCTTAGATTGTGTTTGTCTGAATCTGACTTCTATGTTTTGAGTGAAACCTGCATAAGAAAATTAGAAATCTTTCCAGATACATAATATCTCCCAGGTTTATGTCATACTCACACCGTTAAATATGTTTTTTTTATTTTATTTCTTTCTTGCTTTTTCCCTTCTGAGGGCGTAACAAAATTTCGCTTAAAATTATAAAAGAATCAGCAAAACTTTTGAAGCGAAAACTTTCGGCTAGCAAAATTTTCAACCTTGTCCCGCTACTCCTTTTTCTGTTGAAAACCCTCGGCTATATCCCTCGCCTCAGTTGCTCCACTCGTCCTTCTTTCACGATTACAACTTCTTCCTTCGAGCTGACGTTTGGATGCAAATGTTGAGAGAAGTCTCTCCCTCTCCTCTCCTGTTGCCTATTCAGATTGCTCGACCACAATGCCTTCAGTGGGCCCATCTCACCACACCTGGCGATGCCCAGCCTTATTGAACTGTAAGACCCACCATTTTTCCCCATGATTTACCAACTGATCTATGCATATTCAGCCATGTTGGCCTCTTTGGCTCCCCTTGTACCTCCACTTTCGGCAGAACTCCTTTTCTCAGTTCCTGTGCCGTTCCCCTTTTCACTCATTCGCAATCGCAATGTCTCCTGTTGGGCTCTCATGGCTGCAGTAAACTGTCCGACAACCTGTTCACAGGAGGCATCCCCAACTCCTTCACGAGGCTCACTGGCATGACTACTCTGTACTTATCTCCCCACACTGCGCCCCTCCCTTTTGACTCCTCTTGTCCCCAATGCACTAAATTGCTGTCAAAGGAAATTAACGAAGCACATCATTTCTTGCATTGCGTAGCCTCAAACGATTCTAATTGCTAGTTGATAGCTGTGCCTTGTTTGTCCAATGGTGCCACAGTCCCAGCCTTGTGCTTGTCGTCTCCAATGTGTGTGACTCTGCACAACTTGACAGGAACGTTGGCGTCAACAGTCTCAGCTCAGGACTTCACGTGGTGGCGCAGATGACATGGCTCGCACAAATGTGCGTGTCTTCTCCTCTTTGCCTCCTCAGCTTCCACCGATGTGCTCCCACCTTTCATTTCCTCACTTTCCTTTCGTTCACTTTGCATGCCTGCAAGTTCTGAGCCACTTTCTTGAATTCTGGCTGGCTGTGCAGCCTCCTCAGTGCCAACAACTTTTCGGGGGTGCTTCCAGCGTCTTTGACAGCAATCAAGGAACTTTCAGCCCTGTGAGTCCACTGTATCCACTTCTCATCAGTGCAGCAACGCCTTTCTTTGCACCTACCTGGGTGGGATGCAGCAACAGCTGTGGTTGTGACTACCCCTATTCTAAGGGTGCCTGAATGATTCTGGGCCCCTCTTCATAATAACTTCATGTCGCTATTTTAGTTTATAAGCTTTTCATTTCGTGGTGCATGATTATATGTGGTGCGTGTGTATGCATCTTCACGTGCTGGCCTGCCTCTGTTAGTGCACGTGCACACACACCTTATTCATGAATGCGGGCATGTGTGCATGAACGCAAGTGCGAGCGAGCGACCTTTGTTTCCTGCTGACGTTTTTGCGAACCCATTCGCCATTCTGCATGGATGCGTTTCATCATCTCCCAACCGCATGTATCTTTGGCCTGCTTCAGGTTCATCAATGATAACCACTTCACCGGAACGTTTCCCAGTGCTATCCTGCACCACAAGAGCCTTAATTACCTGTATGACATCCATAGTCCACTTGTTGGCCGTTGCATTGATTCCTCAAATAGGGGATGGTTTCACGGGCTGGAGGAACACATGCTGCCATTTCCATCGATTGTGATGCACCTTGCTTCCACCCCCCCCCCCCTGACATAAGTATCTGAACAACTAATGCGGCACTTGTTATTGGAGCGGCAATGGCAGGGACATGAGCAACAACAGCTTCACTGGGACTATCCCCGGCGAATTGACCAACCATGTCAACCTGCAGGGCATGTGAGTGGCGCCGCTGCCTGGTCCACTACAGTAGCCCGTGGGCACAGTGTGAGCGGTTGTGGGTGCTGCACCAGCTTGCAGAAAGGGGAGGGATGTGAACAAGAGTAGAAATATTGCCATGCAGGGCGTTGAGGGTTGCTGTGGAGGAGCCGTTAGAGAGACTGTCTATGACGTAGCCTTCTGCGTGGAGTTTTCAGAAGCACGCATCCATTCTTGACTCTTGACTCGTTCAAAATGCCCAGTAATCTTAATGACAACAAGTTCCATGGAGCTATCCCATCCGGCCTGTTTCAGCTATCCATGATTTACTCGCTGTAAGTAGCTGAACCGCTCTAAATCACCTATTGAACCGCTCTATTGAATCCATTGTTTCCGTCTTGCACTGTACTTGCCTCCTGCAGCAACCCTCTACAAGCCTTCTGTATGTTAAAGGCCCACCATGCATGGACGTTTGTTGGCAGTTTCCTTGCGTCCCTAACAGCTGGATATAACTGCTCCTTCCCTACATTTTCCCTCCCTCCCAAGACAGGGAGGTAGCCAACAACTTTCTTTCTGGAGGCCTTCCACATACCCTCAGCGCCCCCCCTTCCTTGCTCACACTGTAAGCAGTGCATCCACTGTGCTGGCACCAATGCGTGTGCTGGCACCCATTTGTGTGTGTGGGGCTACCTTCGTTCTTGCTTGACTTTGATGCCCCTTGAGTCTCCATCTGTTGCTCTTGCACTGCGCAGTAGCCTGGCAGGAAATGGCTTCACGGGCTCCTTACCAGACTTCTCACGCTGGAATGTCAGCTGCATACAGATGTAAGCCTCTCCACAATCTCTTCCTCTCCTTCCCCACCTGACACGCTCTCTTGGAGAGAAGAAATGTGAACCCTGCCGCAACGAACCTGTGGTCTCGCACGAGACAACAGGTCCACGAGTGTTGACGAGTATTGACTCGCCATGAAGCATTGGAGTGGACGAGTCATGCCCCGCTCGACCCAAAACAGATCTAGTCGAGGATACATCGCCATGCGAGTGCTCATGATGTCTATTCTAATACTCAGCGTCGTGACGTCCATTTGCATCCACTTGACTCCACGTCCATCTGCAGTTGAGTCCACCCAACTCATGTCTGTTGCTGCCTTGCTTGTGGTGTGGCTCAGAGCCCTCAATCACAACAACTTCACAGGGTCTATTCCCGATTCGATCTCCACCCTCACCTCCCTCAAAGCCATGTGAGTCTTCTGTAATCCTAACATGCCTTCACCATCTGGCCTTCAGCACATACCCTTCAAACTATTTCCATCCAACCAAGGTTGTTGTGTCAGACTGCCATCTTCAAACCTGGAGTTGCGGGAGAAAGCTAGCAGTGCTGGGCTATGCACTCACAGTGCCCATGTGCTAGCAGGCAGCAGTGGCTTAATATGCACTTTCCTTTCCATGCCCCTACAGCACCCTCAACAACAACCAACTGACGGGAAGCATCCCCTCCGCCATCTTCAGCATGACGAATCTCAAGTACCTGTGAGATTCCCAAGTGCCCATCAAGCGTCCCCAACTCTGCCCCATGGTGAGAGGCCCCGCATCAGCCCTGATAGCACTCGCATGCGCCACTTCTCATTGCCATGTCTCCCTGCCTTTGCCCGTCAGCTACATGGCCAACAACAAGCTGAGCGGCACTCTGCCAGCCGACATCAGCCGACTGGAGCAGCTCGAACAGATGTGAGGGTGCTATCTGCCTTCCTCTAAATACGGGCATGAAAGCAGAAGTAAACATTCACAGCACAAGTCTAGCATTTGTGAACAAAGACGCAAACGGCACATATGCTGTTCCCTCGCGACCCTGCTCGTCATGCCAACTTATGCACCTCCCTGCCGCCTACCACTGTTCTGCCTGCCCCTGCAGCTGGCTGGACAACAACAACATCGAGGGCCCTCTGCCATCCAGCCTGTGCTCGCTTCCATGGCTGTGGCGCGTGTGAGTGGGAAATTTGACTGCGAAAGGTGAAGGTCTATTTGAATAGTGATGTTCAGGCGTTTTCTTGTAGAGAGCAGGTTCGCATACATGCTGCACTGGATTGGAAGGAAAAGAATCAAACTAGCTTCATCTCTGTGCTTATGCCATATTGTGTGGGTGTGATTGATTGTTTGGCATGGTGTTTGTTCTGCTGCTGGCAGCATGATGAGCAACAACTACCTCTACGGGCCACTGCCAGAATGCCTCTTTGACAAGTGTGTCAACCAAATGTGAGCCTTCCCAGCTTTACTGAATTCTCGGTACCATACGTGCTCCAGCTCGCACCTTCAATATGGTCAGTGTTGCGAGTGACTGATGCATGCTCTTAGCTGCTGTATACTCTTAGCATGACCACCTTCAAAAGCTCAAACTCCACTGTTTGCCTACGTGCTCTTCCCAGCGATGTGAGCGGAAACAGCCTGTACGGGCGCATCAACCGCAACTTCAAGAACATGGTGGCGGATGGCGACGCGCTTATCAACTTGGCTCACAACTTCTTCTTCGGTGATGCCGTGCTCTTTGCTGCCGGCTGCCAGGTCTGCCCCACGGAGATCAGCGACCCCAACAACCTCGACATGGGGGACACCTTTGATGTGCTTTCCGAAAAGTGCAACAATCTTGCAGCTACTAGTCGCCACTATTTCTCGGTAGCAGGGGCAGGCAAGGAGGCGAGGGTGAGTCTGTTGGGAAACTGCCTGGCGCTCAGCCCCGACGGGGAGTGCTCGTCCAACGCCACCCAGCGCAGCACGGCAGCCTGCCAGGCGTTCTGCAGCATCACTGACAACGGCCCGTGTGACGGCCATGGGGAGTGTGTGCCACCTGCGCCTGCCTCCCCCTCCAACTTCACCTGCCTCTGCCATGCCGGCTACTCCACCCTTGACGTGGGAAACGGCTCCACATGTGCCATCGTCAACTCCACCACCACCACTGGTGAGACCTGCCTGCGCTGCCTCATGTGAAGATGGTGTTTTGTTGCTACACTTGTCATGGAAGTATTCTTATACCGACCACATCTCTCCCTTTGTCACCCTCACCATTCGCCTTTCTCCCCCCTCTTTCAATCAACCCCCATCCACTCCACACCTCCTCCCCCCCTCTCCCCCCCTCCCCCCTCCACCTCCCCTTCATCACCCTCCCCCCACAATCCCCCCCCCCAACCCCCTCTTCCGGCCCTCCCAACCCTCCCCACTCCGCAGTGTCATCCTTGTCCACGGGTGCCATAGCGGGTATTGCTGTGGGCTGCTTTGCTGACTTCACTCTGCTGGCTGCTGTGGCCCCGCGGACAGAGTGAGGCCCCAAACCTTGTCCCCTTCCGTCTCTCCCATTGCTGCACCTCTTTTCCATCCTCCTTCTATGCTCCCCTTTTCTGCCCCCTTGCTCTGTCTAATCACATACCCCCTTGGTGGATTACCCATCCTGTGTGTCTTTGTGTGTCCACAGAGAAGTGGGAGGGGCTGGATGTGTGTGAGCAGTTTTCGCTGGAGCAGATGGTGAAGGCCACCAACAACTGGTCGAAAGACAATGTGCTGGGCAAGGGTGGCTTTGGCATTGTCTACAAAGGCTACTCGCCACAGGGCCAGCTGTGGGCTATCAAGCGCTCCAAGATCATGACAAATGACTTTGAAACGGAGGTGAGGCGTATCTCACTGTTAGCAGCCTGCCTGTCCTTTTTCTTCTTGGAAGCATGTATTACAAATGCTATCATCCAATGTTTTCATTCGATGCAAAGCAAACCAGCAGACTCTGTGTTAGCACCTGTGTTGTTCTTTGGGGTTTGGGCTGCAGGTGCGAGCCATGGCGTCTCTCCACCACTCGCATCTCGTGCGCCTGCTGGGCTTCTGCCTGGATCAGAACGTGGAGACGGGCAAGCAGGAGCAGATCCTGGTGTACGAGTTTGTGGGCAACAGGGACCTCGACTATCACATCCACGCAACTAAGAGTGAGCTCTTATAGCTTTTCAAAATGGTTACCGGGCAATCAAGAGACACCGAGAAGATGACGCCGTTGCTTATACAAACATGCGTTGTGCTTGGATCTTATGGTCTCCCCTCCAGATCCGCTCTCGCTGCGCCAGAGGCTGCGCCTAGCACAGGGAGCAGCAGAGGGCCTGGCGTACCTGCATGGGTTTGAGACACCCATCGTTCACCGCGACATCAAGCCGGCCAACATCCTTGTGACTGCCGACATGCAAGCCAAGGTGGCTGACTTTGGGCTGCTCAAGCTCCTCACTCATGGCGACTCTGATGCCACGCGAGTGGCTGGCACTCCGGGCTATGTGGACCCGGATTACAACCGCACAAACATCATCACTGCCAGGAGTGATGTGTTCAGGTTCGCATGTGTCGGAAATTCCCTTACCTCTCCCTCTCCTGATGCCCTTCCCCCTATCCCTCCTTCCTCTCTCCTCCCACTCTCTGCTGTTTCTCACATTCTCTCATGAACTTGCGACACATGCTTGTTATGTTGTACAGCAAAACGAATATGTGCAAATTTGAATATTTGACCCTCCCTGGTTGTGTTTTTCATTCGAATACATGTATGTACCCTGTATCACAACGGTTGTGACACAACCTTCTGACGTATTTTGATGGTCAAATTTCTTGCCTGCTTGCAGCTTTGGCATTGTGCTTCTTGAGTTGCTCACTGGAAAGTCACCTCAGGTTACAAAGCATTCGCATATCAGAGAATGGGTATGGCCTCAATGTCAAGTCAGCCTTTGACCTCGTCTTTGTATGCCCGGACCTCGTCTTTGTATGCCCGGACCTCGTCTTTGTATGCCCGGACCTCGTCTTTGTATGCCCGGACCTCGTCTTGTATGCCAGGACCTCGTCCGTCTTTGATCATAGTCCCCTTTCTTTGTTGCCTTCCACCGCCTTTGCCCGTTATCATTCTTCTTGGCAACACCTCTCCTCTCTATCATCCTTCCTTGCCTGGACGCCTCTCCAATCTATCATCTCTCCCTTCCTGGACCCCCACTAGGCAAGAAAGAAGATTGAGGTATTTGAGCTGGATGAGCTCAAGGACAGCAAGATGCCGGCGGTAATCGAGGAGGCCATAGTGGAGTTTGCAGACCTGGCTCTGGACTGCATGAAGTCACCAGGCACAAGGCGGCCCAGCATGACGGAGGTGGCGTATCGCCTCACTGCTCTCATTGCCAAGCACTGCCCGGACAAGGAGGACGAGTGGGAGAGTATTGTGAAAGAAGAAAGCTCAAGCAACGGAGGACTGCCCTCAACAAACATCTCTGCTGTGTCGTATGGTGGAAGGGATTCTCGGATGTCTTCTGACTCCCATCCTAGTGCGATCTCATTCATGAGCATGGGCTCGATAGCTGATGGCGTCAGGAGCTGGCTGCATCTGAAGCCCACCAGCGGGTACTAGGTTGGCGTAACCACCGTACCGTACCATCCGTAGAACCTGGTTTGTTGGCATTACAGTAGCAGTGCAGGTTCAGGAGAAGTTCAGAGGACTATCACTTTGCTGTTTTCTTTGTGAGTAATTGTGATGTCGATGCAGCTCCTATGTTCGTGGTAATTGGGTGGTGATTGCTAGTTATACTTCAATACTGCTATGCCTACGTGAAATGGGATGATCGGCACCATTTTCCGGGCTGACCGCCCTTCGGACCAAAAAACGCAGTGGGAGGAGCTGGGGGAGGGAACACCAACATCCTACCCTAGAAACCAGATTCTGCAACTTAGCTTAACCCAAACAGAGACGGTTGGTGATGGTAAACGAAAAAATAACCAACGTCCCTCAAACGTGCTTGTAGTGAAAACCCTAGGGAGGGGCTAGTTGGCAAAATTGACGTTACATGGTTGGAGTTGCGGAGTTGTATGTGTTGAACATTTTTTTCGTTTTGAACACCCTCCTGAATTGTCCATACGCTTGTTCTTCATTCGTGTCGAAAGCTCTACCCCTCTTTCTTGCTGGAGAAACTGTGTGGGTAAGTTCTTCATTTACCGTCGGAGCCTTCCCCCCGTGCTACCGAAATTTCCCATTCTCGGTTGTAGCGGGCGGGTGTGATGACGACATAGGAAACAGCGCAGGTACCGTCGTCATTTACCTTCTCCCCGCCCTCCTCCCCCCCCACCCCCCGACATGTGCTACCAGAACACCGATATTGTCCATCAACAAGGGATAATACCACGCTAGTTCTTACTGTAGTAGCATAGCGTCCTCCCTCTCTAGACTTCAGGGAGTCGGCCCCCCACATGGACCTCGATTTCGCTGAGAATGCAGCAGCGACTTTGCTGGTGGACCAGGCCAGCAAAGGGATCGCTCGCTGGGTTCAAGTCTGGTAACCACATTCGAGTTCTCGCCACAGCCGGAAAAAATATCCCAGCCGGGACTTGAATCCTAGGCTCTGATTCCAGTATAACACCTCGCTACTAATTGGGTCAAAACGGGGGTGTTATTTGGCGCAACAGAATGCCCATTAACACAGCCCACAGGCATTACACTCTCGCTGCCCTGGTCGCCTCTCCTAGCTACCATGGAGTCACCCTCTTGCTTCCGCTCGTCACGTTGTCTCTTGTCTCTCGAGTTTCCGTCGCTCGCACCCTCCCTCTGGCGAACCCATCCCGAAAATCTCGAGGCAGAAATCGCTTCGAAATCGTGGGATACCCCCAGGTCACCCTTTGGGGGTAACCCCGAAGTTCCCGCCAACAGGCCCGCAGGTTACCTTTGCGCTCGGGCCACTGTTGCGAAGTGATAATTCTCGCAATTGCCATTTCGGGAGAAGGATGTGAACCAGTCAGGTTTTATCTCGGTTCATTGTAACCCAGGGGATACCCCCCAGCTTAGGAAGGAGCTTTGGCTTCAGGTTCGGTTTCTCATCGGTTGGGAGTCGAGGCAGTTTTAGAAATAGAAGTCCGTTAATGAGATATCCAAACGTAGTTGTACGATGATTTCGAGGTGTTATCGCGCCTCCCAATATTGGGGCATCGGATGATGTGTTTCGCTGGGTGCCAGCGAGAATTTTGTCCACCACTCACAGCTATCCTTGTCACTTGACTGTCGTTGCAACGCATTCATCATGAAATGTACATCACCTCCTGCTACGAATATATTGTTGTTCCATAAGTTATCTCTGTTTGGACCTTAGTCTCTAGGCACTGCGGCAGGCTATGTATGCACAATTGATAGCTCGGTTGTGATTTTCAGGTTTTTTTATTAGGCGCTTAATTTCCTGAGTGCTATGCATACACGCTAAGATAGTAGGTTCTTTATGTATTCGCTAATTGATCGGCTATGTCTAGGACCTTTCGGTATTGCCGAGGTTTTTTTACAATTATTTAACATGTTTTTTTGTATGTTTGCCCTTATTCACGGCAAATTGCTGGTGGTGGCAGCTATGCGTGATTCTTCGCCAACGTCACAGGGCCGCCATATAATTCGCTATTCAGCTCTAAATTGGGCTCATAAGGTAGGCTATTTAACATTGATTTAATTGAAATTCCGTCAGAGGGCTGCAGGATATGCGCCGCTCATTCCGTGTTCCTTCTCGTCGTCGTTCTGTTTTGCATAATCAGCGCCGCTCATTATGCCGTGCTGTTTCTCGTCGGCATGGTCTATTTCATTGCAAATCGTTGCCCTTGCACCGCGCTTGTGCACACATAACTCTTTTTACATCCAGATTAACTTTGTCTAGTGGGAAGACAGCCGTGGTGTGGCGACATGGTAATGTTTCCCTCTCCATGTCGTTCCTTGATTTGGTCTTATCGTTTACTGGCAATTCTCTGCTTGCTATGACAGGCAATATTTTTTACCTTATTCTGAAGTTTTGTTATACCTTGGAGAAGTGTGCGGTCTGGTGCAGTGCCAACTGTAGTTGCGTGCCTTCAATGGCATACGGTACTGTCTTTTGTTTGAAATGATCAGTGTACTGCATATTTATATATCAGGTACGCGTCGGCGGGAAAGATAATCCCGTAAAACCGAGTGGCCTTGTAGCGAGTCGGTCGTGACCCACGTATCATCGTCACGCGTGCGATCAGCCCATCGTAGTAGGAAATCGACGTGGCGTCCTGCCGGCGTCACCCGCACGCGGTGATTTGAAATTTTCCAGGGCTGAATTGTCGGGTCTGCCACAGGCCGAACACTTGGCGCCATGTTAGGGCGGGCGACGTCAGACGACTGTGGTGCAACGTAATGATGCAGCAGACTGACGTGGAATGCGTCGGTTGACGTGGACCCGATTCCGCGAGCGGACGAGCTGCTGGATCAGCTTCGCGGGGCTCGCTTCTTCTCGAAGATCGATTTGCGAGGTGGCTACCACCAGATTCGCGTGTTCGCCGACGACTGCCCGAAGACCGCTTTTCGCACACGCTACGGCCGTTACGAATACACGGTGATGCCGTTCGGACTGACAAACGCGCCCTCGACGTTCCAGCTAATGATGAACGGGATGTTCAGGGACATGTTGGCGATCGCCCACGCATTTCGTATGTGGCGGTGAGCCGACGTGACGATCCCGATTACAAATCTCTACAGTACATGAGAAGCCAACTGACACTCAACCCGCGACAAATCAGGTGGCTGGACTACCTAAAATCCAACTTCCGTTACACCATCACGCACAAGAAAGGCGCCAACAACATTGCCAACACCTTGACCTGACCATCAATGCAGACCGCAGCGGTACTTGTCACCCGCACCAACCCGCTTTACCAGGACTGTTCACCCACGGGTACACAACCGATCGCTTCTTCAAGCGAAATCAACACCTCCGGGCCACGACGCAGCACGGGAACTATTACCTAAAAGCCGGTATGAACCGGATTTGGTTCCCGTTATGCCGGCCCTTGCGAGAGTTGCTGGTGTAGGAGGTTCACGACTTGTCGCTGGCTCCTCAACTCGTCAAGTTCTGGTTGGCTGAGAAATTGGTTAATCAGCACACGCTTTACTACATTACAGTATCTACCAATTGTTATGCACTAGTTGCTTGCGCATGTTTCCGCCAAATTCCGTATTCAAAAACACCTTCTGCACCTTGGCAAATCGCTAACAGAGAAACACGTACATCGGATTTATCGATCACGACATGGTACTCTCGCCGAATTCCTTAACGGTAGATACACAACACAATTCGTTTTCACGTGATGGAATCTACACCAACAACATTTGTTCATGCATCATAAAGAAAAACCAGTGTACTATATACACCAAAATGCACGCTACAATTCTTACCGTCTGCGTATTGGGCGTTATTGAAGCTCAATGTCAACCGAAATTTGGAATCGTGAAACATTTTAGGTACCACTAGAAAACAAAATGTTTGTCGGGTTTTCCGATCGCGAGATATTACGTTTAAGCCCGTTTCGAGATAAGTCCAAATGGCCACCAACCCGTGTTGTTGGATTATATAGGAAAACCAGTGTTGTCCACGTGGCGGAGACACTCGCGCCTCTGCGGGAGGGGTGTGGCTCAGAGTTACGCAAGCGTGGAGGAGCCAATCGGGTGCTCTGAAACAGGCGAGAAGAACACCAGATCTACGGTGTGGCGACTAGATCTAGAGAAGTCGTTGTTTCTAGTTCTAGTCGTTCCTCGCTCCAACCGTTCCTAAGTACAGCCACTCCTAGCTCCAGCCGTTTCTTGCTCCAGTTGCTCCTGGCTCGAGCTGCTCCTAGCGCCAGCTGCTTCTATCTCCAGCCCCCCTAGCTCCAGCCGTTCCTTGCGCCGACCGCTCCTCGCTCCAGCCGCTCCTAGCGCCAGCCGTTCCTAGCCTGCTGCTCCTACGACCTGCTAGCTTTTACCATGGCGTTCGCTAGAGTGCTGCAGCAGCAGGTACACTAGCAGCAGGAGTTCACACAGCGGGGACCTCGGCAGCAGTAGGGGCTTGGTGGTCTGGGGAGCGTCGATCGCAGCAACGGCCCAGATAGCTGGGGGCTAGTCGCGGTGGCCGCGACGTCCGGCCCTTTCAGTACAGGATCCTGACTGGCCCTGGTGCTGGCACTACCTGCAGACATCCTGACCACTCCGCGTTCCACTGCTTCAGTCACCTCGACGACCTTTATCGTGAGCGTTTCGGGCCTGACTCAGTTTTCCTGCCCTATTTTGTTTCGCGTAGCTGCCGTGTGTTTGGTATTTCCATAGATAATATTCACTCTTACGTGTATCCAAATGCCTCTAGTACTATCGGATTTCTTTGAAGCTGAGAGACTGGGCAAGAAGAGAACTGATTCATTTTGTAAGGGTCAAATGCAAAGGAGCAAGAAACAAGGAAACATGGGGAAGAAAACTACTGACATGTCTGACCTTGTCGAGAACAATGGAGTGCCCGAGACAACAACATGAACTAGGGGCGTGGGATCCTCTTAAAGGCAGGATGAAGCTGAGTGGAATCACTATTGAAGACACAATTCGTGGTCGCAGGAAAA